CGAGATAAGGAACAGCATCTTCAGCATCCATCCCATCCACGACTGCGTCGATAGCACTTGTCGCAGTCTTCATGATGTCCACAGTAGGGCCTTCCTCCTCACCTTTGTAGGCACTCATGGCAGCAGTCAGATTCTTGACGAGTAAGGGCATCAATTTCTCATGGGCCTTGCTAATATCTTCCGGCATATCTTCGGCTAGCCTGGCGGTTGTCTGCAGCGCAGCTCGTCTGACGATAACCTCCGAATCCTCCAGAAGTGTGAAGAGTATTGGCAGAACAGAGGTCAGTTGGGTGCTGAGAAAATCTGGAGCTCCCTCCACAGCCATACCCAGACCCAGGATGCCGGCCTGTCTGTGTTTGGGATTGGAGCTTTTGGAATACTCGGGGAGTGCGTTCAGAAGTGGAACGACAACTTGGTTGGGCGGGAGATGCCGAGACATGGTTTCGATTAGAGCCAGAGCTGATCTAGCAGGCGTGATCTCGTCTTCGTCAGCGGGATCATCATCGACCTCCGTGGCAACTTGTAACATGCTCTTAGTCAGTGGATCCCCCATCTTGGCACCTTGAACGCGCAGCCGTCTATAGAGGACGCACTGCATCAAGAAACTGATGGCTTGAGTCCTTGTGTCATCAGCCATGGCCGAATTGGTTGCAATGCCGTTCATGAAGGCGACCAAATCCTGGAAGTGGTTCGCCATATATTGATATTCGGCAGTCAGAAGGGTGTTGAAAACCTCGAAGGTGAGCATGATCTGATCTTCTTTGCCCGAGTCGATTGTATCCTCCAGAACAGCAACCATAGCTGGGAAGATGTTTTGAAACTCCTTGAGTAATGCCTTTTCTTCCTCGGGATCGGCGAAGTAAGCCATTTTGGAGATGGCTAGCAGCGTGTTGACGCGGACTTCGAGGCTCTCTGGGTCTTTGATTGTATTGCTGAAGAGCGCAAATAATTCTTTGAATATGGGAAGAAAGTGCTCTCCCATAGTTTCGAGGATGCAAAAAAGCACGTACACGCCGATTGCGCGTTCCGCGGCTTTTGAGCTCGAGGCGGCTTGCTGCAACATGCCAGGCAGTTCAGGCCATTCCCCATCCTGGTGATCAATCTTCGCAATCGTGCCTATCAGACGCGATGATGAGTGTCGGACAAGGGAGGAGGGTTCGGCGAGAGTAGCCCGCAAGAGCTGTGTTCGCGCATCTTGCCGCTGGTTGAGAGGAATCTTGGTCCAGTGTTTCGAGACCAACGGCCTTGCTTGGACGGCAGCAAGTTGTTTGAGGTCGGCACTTTCGTGTGAGATTACGAGGTGGAGTAAGGCAAGTAGGGACGCTGGCTGTTTGTAGTATTGATTCTGAAGTACACTTGTGGCGGCCTTCACGTCACCTTTCTTTGGATCGAGGATGATGGAGAGCTGCTCCAAGAATTTCTGTTCGTCCATCATAGCCTGCAGGCAGCCTGCGCCTCTGTGGTTGTTTTAATCAATCACAGCTAGGCCGAACGAGAGGAAATCCTTCAACGTTCCAAAGGCCAAGAAGGTTTTAAACCCAATGTCCTAAGCACACAGTCTCAGAACGTGGAAGGGTACAAAGTTGTTCAAGAGATTCGAAAAGAAATTTGGGGCGCAGTTTCGAGGAATTTTTTTGGGCTCCAAAATGCCAAACTCGGGATCAACATCATTGCGGAGCGAATTAAGATTCAGTCTAGTCCAAATTTAGACTGGCGAGTCTCGGCATCGTTGAGCGTGCCAAGATCTATCACGTGTACACACGTGATAATTAACGTGATTTCAACACCCCAAAGGAGTCTGAAAAAACTTTGGAGTGTGGCAAAGGGCCCTGGCATTTTCTGCGCCTCATAGCAGTCCAGTTACCAATCACAACATTAACCCCCAACTGCGGGCAATGGCTCCTATTATTCAACACGGTCACAGGCATCTGCCATTGCCTGTTCATCGAGCCGAGCATACCCGTAGAGCCTAGGTCGGCTAAGGACTTAGGCTCAACTTCTCGATCTCATCTGGAAGTCTTAGGTCTCCCCGCCCTTGAACGTCTCTGTGTCCCAGGATCGACTTTCACACCATGGAGAAAAAAAAATTCAGAATATGAAGAATTGGTATCCAAGCACGGAGCTTTGCATGTGCTGATATCAGCTCGGCCTAGGAAATTCACATCTCGAGATGTGCGCCAACTTTGCCTTCATGGGGAGGGGCTTGTTACAGCCCGGAAGAAACTACCGGCGAGGCCAAGGGATGTAGGCCCAGCGTGCCCCCTAATCACAAACCCAGTCGGCCGGCTATGGAATTTCTTGTTGCAGTGAACACCATGAGCCAACCTTGCACTAATCGAGCTCCCCGCCCTCTGAGACACAGAGCCGGTCGATCTCTTGCGAATTTCCTTGTAAGAACGAGCCCGAATCTGCCCTTCTCTCCATGTCAGAAGTGGTCTATATGCTTTGCGATGACACTTGAGGGCGAACAGGCACAAGCGGAAGATGCCTCTGAGTCCAGAGTCGTCTACCTGCTGTGTATGAAATCAAATAATCGAATACTGGGCAGAGCCATGGACCAAATGGCCGATTCGAAGTTTCCTATTCGTGTCGTAACTATGGCTGGTTGCAACGTTCCTCCGAGGAGCGCCTAGCATAAATATGTTGGGCCCAAGAAGCCCACTCGCAGAGTTCGGATATCTCGTCCGCCATAATTCTGTCTTACTTGCTTTCTTCCACTGAGCGAGCTTCGCTCATATTCTCAAGCTTTCTCGAAAAACGCACACTCACTTCCTTCCAGGGGCCCTTTTCCTACGATGGCGCGCTCTCAATAACATGAATTGTCAAGCAGATTGTCGCATTGAAAAGGGCTTCCGAGAGATCCAGAGCCAGCTCGGCATTCCCGATGAATTCACGGCAGCCATTCTCTCTCTATGTCTCAGATGTTGGCCCCGCGACCACCCCCCGGCGGCGAGCCTCCCCAGGAGCCTCCATCGTCTCAGCGCGGTCGAAAAATATCCACTGCTTGTGGTGCCTGTAAGCAGAGGAAAACAAAGGTATCTAGCGCACTTGGGGCGTTCACCAGCTGCGTGTCTAACACGAAGCAGTGCTCTGGAGGCAATCCCTGCGAGGCGTGTGCGACGAGAAAAAGTCTATGCGTTTACGACGCGACTTCTGACCAGCGACGGAAGATTGCGAATCATCGAACTGCCCAAGAACTCGCGGATAAGCAACTCGCCCTCGAACGACACCAGCAACTTCTGGGAGGAATAATCGCAACCGTGCGAGCGGGTGGTTTCAATGCGACCGAGGACTTGCTCCGTGTTATACGCTCAGGCGTCGAGCTGTCGCAACTGGCCGCCCACGTGCGAAACGAATGTCGAGCTAACATCGCAATCCAGCAGGCTTTCGAGCAGATTGATTTCGTCATTGATGGAGGCACAGAATTACCCTCGCCAGCTCAAATGCAAGTTTTACCAAGCGAGGATTCCCGAGGATCAGAAGAACAAAGTGACACTAGTTCCGTGAGATTTCCTTCCAGCGACCAACCGAATATGGACCGTCTAAGACCGCCGCGCTGAAAGGAACTATTGTGGAGGATGAGAACCGAACGCCTGCAGTGGTTGAGCTATCAATGGTGCAAAAGAGCTTGAGATCCCTTTCTCTCAGGAAAGCCCTACATATTGAATGGTGTCAAGGCGCTGCTACTGGGTACGTTAATACTGGGTTCAATATTCACGGTATTGTGGACGATCTTGTCTGAGGATACCCTTGTGCCTTGTGGCTTGATCGATCAATCTGACCCCAAGTACTGATTGTTGAGACTGCTCGGCCGTCACATAGGGGGATGGATAACAGCTACTTCCCATTTGATACACCATTGCAGCCGAAATATGTGGGATATTCAAGTCCGTCGCGGAGCAGGGCCTATCTATCAAGGGCTATGCCTGCAGGACTGGTTAAAGCCTGCCTCAGATTGATATGACAGGTGGGAAGACTGGTGGCAGAAGCTAATGACCCTGTAGGTACAGTCGGAAAGGCCAAGTTTTCCGAGACACCTGGCTCTGTGCTCCCGCATGTGGACCTTCCTAACTCACAGAAACATGAGCAGGATCCGGAAATGGAATCCGTCCGAGTAACGAGTCTCCTTGCTCTACCACCCCGATCTTCGATCGAATCATTTTGAGAGGCGCTCCGACAAAGAGGCAGGCCGTTTCAAGCCCTTCCCGCCGTCTTGAATGCGAATTACAATAGACAACACATTTAGCATTGATTGGAATCGTCATACACCATATGCTGAGGAAATGCACAGAGTACACGAAAATACGCTGGTCAGACGTGCATCTTGGGGATCAAATACCACTTAGATAACCCACCCTGCCACCTCGCCAAACCCGGAGGACTCCTGATCTTGCCGGTTGGGACAACCCTATTCAAATGCCAACGGATGGATGGGTGTATTTCGTGGAGACCAGTCGGATTCCAGCTTCTTGAGTCGCTGTGATAGTCGCCGTGTGATCAGTCTTCCCATGCTTGGTACCCCTCCTCACCCGGAGAAAGGTGCCAAAAATCACGCCCATTTTCCCGTGCGTGAGCATTTGTTTGGTGCTTGAGGAAGCAGAGTCTTCGGGCCCAAGGAGAGGGAGGGTCATGGATGTGTTCTCCAAGTACTCTAGAGAGTTCCATTGATCTTGCACACGTGCGAAACTAGGGTGCGAGGGATACGCAGGTGACTGGCGGTCAGACTGCGCTTTGTCCCACACTGCCACTACGTCATTGTGTGACCTTGAATCCCCGGTGGAATCACTCAGTGCTTATCGCCATCAACCCTGGTGGCCCCTCCATTTACAAACTTCCATCTCACCGTGCCATCGTGCTCAACCCGCCAGCACCCACCGCCCCTTGTGATCGGCATGCATATGTAGCTGTCCAAGCTTGTTGCAAACCCCTCCCCCTCCCCTTCCCCCACCACCACTCGTCTCCCTCCTCCTCGTCGTCCTGAAAGACCTAGTCAACCCACCATGACACGTAGAGTCTTTGCCCAAGGGCCCGTGGCGAAAGCCCAAGAACATCAGGACCATGTCGCTCCCCAAACCAACGATGCTCCCTCGTCCACCTCGACGCGCAACCAATCATCGGCACTGCGATACCCTTGGGAAACTCTCCTCGTGAGGCATCCTCGGTCAACACTTAAAAGGCATCTGGTCCCCGCCGCCCACGGCCACGCTTTCGAGGTCAAAGCCTCATCTCATTTTCGTATCGTCGACCTTCATGGCCAGCAGGTGGTCGACTTCATGGCTTGGACGCTGCCTTACTCTCCTGCGACCAACTCGGAGCATTTTTCCACGAGCTACACGCGATACGCACTGGGAGGTTCTGCATCTCCGCAGGTAGGCGAGGCGCTCTACACGAATCGGGACCGAAAAATGTTTACTATAGTCGCGGACATGGTCAAAACTCACGATCTGCTTTTCATGGCGTGTAACCCGGGCTTTTATGCACGCAACGGCCACCCTGTTCACCGGTCCTGTGCCACCAATGTTGCCGAAGCGATGAAACCCTGGGGCATGAAGCATTGGAGCGAAGTAGTTGACCCATTCAATGTCTTCCAGAATACTCCCTATTACACAATCAAGGCGCTCAATTGTTCAAGGCCGGGAGATTTCCTAGAAATGCGGGCCGAAGTGGATGCAGTTTGCGCCGTGAGCAGTTGCCCGTTTGAAGACGACGGCTTCAATGGTGGGAGAGCCACAGACATTGCTGTGGTGACCGAGGTTGACGACGAGGAAGAGGAAGAGGAAGAATAAAGCCACCTTGTTGCTAGATCCGCGTTTTAGAAAGCTGCGCCTGCAGAAAGCCCTCACACGAGGATCTCCAAAAAGAAATCCTGCTCCGTATCTCAACTGTGTATTGGAGGGACTGTCCTGCCATCCGATTTCGATGCCCGAAGTAGATGTGCTGGCCAACTTTGAGCATCTGGTCATTGCAGAGAAGCAGAGCTGCATACAACCAAGAGAGGGTTCGGTTTCGTCGCCAACACCACCCAGAGACCGCAGGGAAGTGCAACCTCCAGATCAATCAACCTGTGCCCGCCGCCGCCAGTCATTCAGTGCAAGAAGCGGAATTGCTTTGTCGGGGTCGTAAAGCGCATCCATACCGTTGACAGCAATCTTCTTGAGTCGAGAACTGCACTTCAGCCTCGTCGAAGGATAGGAGCCAGGAGAAAACAATTTCGCCTGACCGGTCATATTTTCGCGTATTTCGATGTCGAAACAGCCAGATACACTGAGGCGCAATGTTAGTAGTGTTTCTGCCGTTGAGGTATTACCCTCAATGCATATGTCCATGGTGAGTTGTGGCAATTATCTCAGTCCCTTGAAACCATGTGGATGTTCCTCTGCCTAGCACAGCGTCTTTATGTTTGTATCAGCATCACCGCTTTGATACATGCCATTCGAGGCCAAACTTACAGGTGCCTTGCAACGCCATCCTCTCTCCATCTCTGTTACTAGTTAATGTCCCCTCATCGATTGCTTTAAGAGGCTTGAGGAGGGAAACAAGAACTGAATGCGACACTTGTGTCAACAGTGCCTCCACTGTAAGCTCGACCTGCGAACAACACATTCAAACTTGATCAAAGGAACAAGGCTTTGTAGGACACCAGCACCCCCGATGAATGCTTGGAAACTGTGGAATTTTGAGGAGCAGACAGAGGACTCAGGTGCTTCGGTTCAGTTAGTCGACTGGTGGCTCTCACCCGCACTGGCCAGAGTGAGGCGTGGACTCCTGGGTCGAACACAGGGAGTTTTCGACATCGAGTTAAGCCATGAATGAGATATCAGTGAAATCGTTGTTCGTATTGCTGATCAACTGCGCTCTCGGACCACTTTGTGAGAGAGAATCAACAACTGACCAGTCCAGGTAAGCGAACCTGCCTGCGCCCTCACGCATGATTCGCCCTCGGAGCTCAGGTTGACGGTGGTTAACTTCTTTCGGCGAGGCATGTGGCTCGAGAGCACGAGGAGGAAGATCGAAGCGAGTGAAGAGGACTCGTAGGCAGTAAGAGAAGTGACGAAGATGAGGTCGGCATATAGGCGATGCCGTCGTACATATCGTCCAGGGGTTCATGCCGCCATGCCGCCAGCACAGCGGTTGGCAAAGAGCGAGAGGCATCACGGCGCCACGAGGAGCGAGTTGACGTCGGGCCCTGTTTGAGGGGAGGGGGCGTTTTGACGGGCATATTGAACACATTACTACAAAAGGAAAAAATTGGCCTGAGCTGTTTGGCTTTGAACCAGTCAATTCGTCATACTGTTTTGCAGTGGAAAAGCGCAACTTGCTTTCCGCAGGCGGACTGCCTTGCTACGCGGATTGTCCGCCTTGCACCTTCGTCAGCCGATCACATTTTCCGTCTAGGGTATGTAAAGTCGTCACGTTCTCGGAGAAGTGCAATGCGACGACCTGTCACTGCTCGGTCTAAATTCCTCTCGATGTCTTTTGCATGTGTGCGAGTGCTCCCTTTTTGGCAGGCCCGTTGAAATTCAAGATGTGTACACAGGGTGACCAGGTCAGTACTAAGGCTTTCGTGACAGCCTCTGAAACTGCATTGGCAATGTGACCTGGCTCCCCTTCTCCAAAGGAACAACCATTTATTGTGTGAAGCCCCGGCCACACCCTGGTCACAACAATCGGCTGTGGCATGTGTCTCCTAGTTCTGGTCCTGTCAAGAATGAATCGAGAACTGATTTGATCCTGGAGATGATGAGTGTAAGGCCGTTTGTGTCAACCCACTCCCTGTAAAAAGCCTCTGCAAATCCGGGGGAATTTATGGGACTCCCGAGCTGGAAAATACCAAAAAAGAAGTGATCTGAATGTAACTGGCCCATAAAATCACATATATGGTCGCCAGCGACGAAGGGATAGGTCTTTCCCAAGCAGCTCCTGGGACAAGCTGGCCGTAATCCACAGGTGTCCTTTCACCCTCTCAAGCATCCCACCCATTGTTTGGAGGTCCAAGACTGACATAAAGAGTGAGAATTGTTCTTCTTTTCAAGGATAAAAGGCCTAAATCATTTTGCTCTTAGGCCTCTCAAGAGTTTGTTCTCAAACCCCAATTGGGGACTGATAACAATGGCTCAACAAAGTTATGCCGGTCCGGAGACAAGTTATTCAATGCTGATATAAGCTTCTACGTTCGTACCGAGGATGACCACGAATGGCTACGGTCTACTATGAGAATCGCCAGAGTTAAGGATATCCTTGGTGACGATTATAGCTGAAGCTTGATTGAACGGCCTGAGCCTTTACAGCTCTGGGCGGTCTATTTTGGCTGTTTGATTATCTGGACCATGGTGCTGCTAGCAGCAGCACCTATAATATTCTGGGGAAGAATGTAGTAATGCATTTGCCAGCAGCAAAGCATGTGGCAATCCCCCGATGCTTTCTTGGAAAAAGGGTCGAATCTAGAGACCGTAAATAGGACACATTGACTTGATGAATGGCTTATTATTACTCACATTTGTTGAGTAACCGTCTCAGTTTATTCATGTAGTGCGTAGAAACAAAATACAGAAGACTTGCTGGAGGTGGTCAAGCGGATGTGCTTTCCCTTTTGATGTTTTTCAACCATTTTCTTTTTCAATGTTAGCTTCTCTTCACACCTCCAGTCGCCTTTGTTTCGCAACGTCTAGGAGCAGAAAGGACCACTGCCTGAGCTCGCGAGAAGGTACGCCACAACTTTAGGACCATTTAGCCGACCCAAGTCGGAGGAACTGGTTCATGTTCTTCAGTAAATTGAGCTTCAGGCCATTGTCAATCGTGATCGTTCTCACAGGCTGCAACGATCAGCAGCTTGACTATCACAATTCTGGATCTTGTCCTAGCTTTGTTTAGGACCGATAAGTTTCGCTCCTACTCGTCTATTGCAGAACATGCTGACGCGTGAGGATTCTCAGGATAGCTGACAGCGGTTAAACTCCAAGCACGCGCCTGTAGGTTCTTGCCATGGGGACCATTCGTCAAACATTTCCCGGTTCCAAGGGCCTCGGCCTACAAGTAGTCTGCGGCCCACAACTCAGTCCTTGGGGAAGCGAAGAATGTTCTTCTCCCCCACTCGTTGCTGCCAGGAGTGGACAGGGGGAAAACCCCTGAGAGAGATAAATTATACAAGTAGAGCCTTGTGAGTGGGGAAGTGGATCGTCTGCTCTAGCAACCAACACCTTTTGAGGGCCGTTCGCACACGGGTAATCACTGGGTACCCTACCAGTATGCGACGAATCACTTCAAAGGGTTTCCATTTTGAAAGATGACCTGATTCTCAGTCGTGGTACCTGCGCTACCTAGTCTTTTTCCGTGCGGTGAATGCTCTCCGTAATTCTAACCACGACCAGCATGGTTGTCGGCCTTGGAAAACCGAGTCATGAAATGTGGATCTGGCTGGTCCTAAGCAGATGTAATCTCATGTATGGCAGCTCATTGAATTATCGAGCATGGCATCACCGAGGGCACTGCCATTGTCACGTGTGGATAGGGAGGAAGGGATTTTTCAGAGTTGTCGTGCGATGCCCTGCTTTTCCAACCTGCAGTTGCCTCACCTTTCGGGTGAGAAGTTCTTTCGCTTCGAGTTCCCCCTGGCCGTAGCGAAGACGACTTTTTGATCCGCTTCCCTCGGTGACTCGAGACTCGTCACTCTAATCCGGTTCCAGGTGGGGAGTGGATTAGTCTTATTCTTAGCCTGCGAGGGAGAGCGGAATAGGTCTATCTGGGGGAGAGTCATGATAAATAATAAGGAGGGACAGTATAATATCGGCGTTACGCCCCCGCATGTCACGTCAAACTACAGGAGCCCGACGGGTCCTAGAGGGGAGTCCTACTCCATACCAATCTGAGGATTTTCCTTCTCGGGAAAACTGGGGCGAGAGAAGCTTTGTGTCAAGCTCTACTCTGGGGATTATGCTCGGTCGTTGGTCTCCGCGCCCGGTCCGCCCGGTGAGTCGCAAGTAGAATGGTCTCTTAATGTATCTATACATTCCACGTTGTCCTTCCATTCGCCACAGATTCAATCGCCTAACTCCCATCCTCATCTTTTTCCAACGCAAAACTTCGTGGAACTTTCAGCAACACCCAAAACAACACCCTGCTCAAGATGGTATCTGCATTCCAGATCGGAGTAAGCTACCGCTCAGCCCTTGTGCTTGCAGAACTTGACCACAATCCACTGACCATTCGCCCGCCAGCTCATCCTCGCAGTGTCCCTTGGGTCCTTGACATATGGCTACTGCAGCAGTATCATCTCAACCACCCTCGGACAGCCAAGTTTCCTGTCCTACATGGGCCTGGATACGGCATCTAACGCAACTCAGCTCGAGGGTGCCACAAATGCTCTTTTCCAAGTCGGCGGTCTCTTTGGCTCCATCTCATCCCTATGGATCCCGGACAAGATAGGGCGCAGATGGGCCCTCTTCATCGGTGGCACATTTTCCCTCGTCGGTGGCGCCTTGCAGACGGGAAGTGTCGACATTGCCATGTTCATTGTTGCGAGGTTCATCACGGGAATCGGCGTCGGTATGGCCAACCTATATGTTGATCTGACTTTTCTTCCTTCTACAAGGACTTCCTTGTCGCTAACCCTGGTCGTTGCTCAGGTGCTTTGGTCGGCTTGGTCCCATTGTACCAAAGTGAAGTCTCCCCTACCAACCTACGAGGGTTTCTCGTAGGTTTGCACGGAGTCATGATCTGCGTTGGCTACACATCTGCCAGTTGGATCGGAGTCGGCTTCTACTTTGTCCATGGTGGTAACCAGTGGAGA